AAAGTCGTGGGGCTGCAACTGTGGTTGTCAAGTGTGATGATGTTTAGGCAGGGAGTGCGTCTTTGCTGCATTTATCATGACAATCTCAGATAAAAATTGAAAGGGATGTGTTTATCGCTTACACCCTGTCACCAGCATGCACACATTTTTAAGCTTGTGCGTCGAACATTTATCGCTGTTCCTTTGGCTAAAAATATCAAGAAATGAAAAAGAACCGGTTAAAAACAGAAACTAAAGTCTTGCAGAGCTGTGCAGCATGCATGAATGTCCCCCCTGTCATTTTTAATGGTTTTGTTTCTGTCTGCAGGCATGGTTGTCGGTGTGGATGAGAGCACGGCGTACTCGTGGCCTGCCTGTAATCTTTGTGGAAGTGACAACTTAGAGCTTTCAGCTGAAAGACCGTAGGTCCTCACAATTAAGCAAACTAGCTTCATGTTTGTCATCCTGGCAGAAGTATCACATTATATTTGTGTTTTTCTGCAGTCAGAAGTTCCACTGTGTTTCTTGTAAGTCTGCCGTGGATAAGCCGCACACAAAGACTCAGCTGGAAGTCTTCCTGACTTCTTCTTCATTAAGTAACTGCACCATGAAGGTGAAGGTGAGAACAGCATCACAGTCTCAAAATCCAAGTGTTTCAGGGCTGTACTTAAAAGAATAGTGTAATATTTAAAAAATATATTGGTTATTACTACTTCACATTTTATGTTTCTGTGATGGTAAATCAACACAGCCTGATGAATTTTTCGACTTCTCAGAGAAGTCCACTGTGCCGGCTCCAAGTTTCTGACAGATTTCTAAAAACATTGGCGTTTTCTTGTTTTTGTGACAGGTGCTCTAATGAATTTGTTAAGCACTGTACTTCTTTGCCCCGTTAGATAAGAAGATCACTACCACTCGTGCATGACAGAACAACCTGAAGACAGTTAGCTTAGCATCAGCCTGGCTCTGAACTAATGCTACAGTCACACAAGGGAAAAGAGTGATAGGTGTGCAAGCACTCACAGTCAGTTGCCTTCTTCTTCAAAGCAGCTTTTGTTCTTCAAGATGGTGATAAAGCAACAATTAGACCAATTCAGTCTGATGTGAGTTTGCAACTGAATATGATCAAGTTGGCCACTGCATGCACTTTCTTTGTGGTAATATGGTGATTAACCTCAAATGCTTCGATTCAGATTTCAGCCAGAAGCTCATAACCAACTGCAAAATAATAAAGGTGCGTGGTAACCCTGCCATAAAAAGATATAACGAGAATACAACCAGTTGAGCTCACCAATGCATATTGCAATATCAGCAACCTTTGGACTGCAAGGCGATTGCACAGATCGCCTGGTGGGAGGCAACCTGTCTCAAAACAATCACAATTTTGACTCGCACTGACTGCAGTCACTCCTACACAGAATGGCGAAGGTTTGCTAATAATTGTTCATTTATAAACACTGACTGCCAGCATGTTGCAATAAATTTGAGTTGGTGCACATCAATGAATGCAACTCATCTTCTTTGCAGTTGGGGACTTGACTCAGCTGCTGCCAACTGGTTGTACTCTGGTTATCTTATTTTATAGCAGGTTAACAAGCACTCATGTCATTTTACAGTCAGTTATTTGTAAATATTTTGTATTAGTTTTAAGTAGTTATGTGAATTTCTGTGCATGTAGACATCAACGGATTTGCATTTTTCAGTTGTTTATCACAGTTAATGATTGTATTACCACAAATGAATTGCATGCAGTGGCCAAGGAGTAGTTGGCTGCAACCACTTGAAATCGGTCTCCAACAGGAAAAAAAATTTAATGCAGTCACCAGGCAACCATGAGTTTTAACTAGTTGCAAGGAGGTTGAGTCGTAAGTGAATCCACCTACCAGGCCACTGATTTAGACAGATTATCTGGTCTGTTCATTCCACACAAACCTGAGATTTGAAAAGACAGTTCAGTATTTTACAGGGAATGATGTGCTACGGTTCTTCCGGTTTGGGACAGTAACTTTCTGGTCAATATCTGTAATATGAAGTCTTTCAAAAAGGAGAAATTCAGTCCCCCAACAGAAAAGTCCCTCTGTAGCAGTCAGCAGTTGTTGTTGCCCACCATAAGACGGCCACTTCCTCAAATTTTTGTCTTTTATATTCTTTAATGCTATGACAGCAACAGAGCTACAACAGCAGTCATATTAAATCTGATACTGAAAGCACTTCCTCATCCGATTGCCAGATTAGAAATTAGAAACATTTATGACCACTTATCGCAGAAACACTTTTTTTAATGTGAAAATTGGTGTCACTTTTTGTCCAAGTCTGCGTAATGACACGTAGGATTAAAATGGTAATGTAGATATCCTCTTTAGTGACTTTTCTTATTCTCTGAACAGCAGATCATCAGATATAAAGTGTTAATTATTCTCCTGAACCATGCTACAAACCGCAGCATTTGTAGCCCAAGCTACTTTGCAATGCCCAACCTTAGCTGGACCTTCAAAGTACAGAAAAACTGAGCTACACGTGCACAAAATATAATCAGAAAGGTCCTTTGGACAGAGACAGGTAGCTATTTGCACTGCACAAACAAGTGAAAAGTTAATCTAGCCTAGCCTCATATTGACTACACAGGTGTGACAGCGATAAGAAGGTAAATGAGTGGATGTTTTAGGTGCTGAGCTGTTGCTTTAAGCAACACATTTTTTTTAAAGTGTTTATTAAATAACAGAATTTAGAATAGATCAGGTGTCCATCCTTGAGGACAGTGGATCATCCCGCGCTGCCTTGGCCTTCTTTTACAGCGAGACTCATAAAGATAAAAACCACATTCTGCACATTTAAAGGCTGAGCACATCTGCATAAAGATATTTTATTGTGGAAAAGCTGGTGTGTGACTTTGCAATCAGAAAGCTAAGCAAGCCAAACTGATAAAGTTATCAGAGTTGTTCTTATCGAACGGCTGATACGTTAACCCTTGAGAGCTGTCACCAAGCGGAGGGCACAGTGCGCTGGTGCAGCATTGGTTTTGGATTTACTGCACTGAGGTGATGATTAAAAAGTCATTACTGTGTCCACGTCTTCTTTTTTTTTTATTTTTTAAATCAGCTGCAGCAGAGGACGATCATGACCATCCTGAATGCTGCAGAGGTGGAAGGGGGTGAGGTAGGTGTGCTTATCAAGCTGTTACATAACTCTGAGCTCATCTGAAGAGCAGATTGATCTTTTGTCAATATGTCATGAGTCAGCATTATTTAAGTTTTCTCTGCTGAGTTGAAAAAACAAAACAAAAAACGTGCTGTTCATTGATATGTTTGAAGGAATTTGTTTCCAAAATATTGGCACACTCTTTTTCCCGGCCTGATTATCATTTTTTGGCTTTTACTAACCTCAAGATGCTCTGGTGCTGTTGGAGCTATTTTTAACATACAAATGCAACGCGCGCTTTCAGACTTAGATCACCAGAATTACTGCTGAGCCAGAGTGCAGAGGTCAGGGGGCTTAAGGATGCTTGCATATTCCTGTCAAACTTTTTTTTTGATGTATGGGAGATATAGGAGGGAGCTATTTTAAGTGTTGATTGCTTTCTGAACGCTCTAACACTGCCAAGTGATTTAACATCGCTGTTTCAGTTCCCAGGATACGATGTGGAGGCTGTGTTGGGAAAAGAGGTGGGCCCCATCCCCGTTTACGTCCGAGTCATCACTAGGAAGCCTGCCCTGTGGATGGGCCTGGAAGAAATCTGCCTCTGATGCTGTCAGGGCAAGGAACTAATGAGCTCAATCCTCAGGCTTCAGCTGGCTCCAAGGATCTGCACGCTGGGCCTCGGTCCGAGCCAGCTTATCCTCCTCCCTCCCTCTGAAGGCCTCCCTGACAGCTTGAGGCTCTGCTGAAGGGAACAGGCTGTGAAGAGACAAGGTCCTGTTTGTGTTAATGATATGTGATCTAACCAGCCAGGGGTTGACAGCCCAAGGGTAGAGCAGTGGCATGCAGGCTGTCAAAAGGAGCCCACGTGGGTTCATTAACTTCAGATTTCTGGCTTTAAATGTTGTCTTTTTTTAAACGTTTTCATCCTTTCTGTGTCTGTGTTTAAGATTAATTCGCTTTGTATCAATAAAAGGCTCATTTTTGCTGACCTTACTTTCTGTTTCCTGTCCCACTTCTTGTGTCAGTTTCCTCAAGCATAAATCATGACATACAAAGATTACCCACAGACCAGGCAGTTCTGCAATTTTTCCAGCAATGTTTTTATTACAGATAACATAAAAACAAACTTTTCAAGGTTTCATACAAACTATATAAAAGATCATGCTCTGGCTCTTATAGAAAGTTTGGAATTATAAAAAAAAAAAGTACCATATCAGGTATAACAACACATAAATGCAGTGGTAAAATAATTTAATACAGAGGAAAAATCCCACAAAAATATGGCAGCATTATATTTTCCAGTGCCATTATGGTAAGCTTAATACATCTGGTACAGATGGTAAGAAAAACAAAAAAACAAGTGTCTGTTGAGGTATGTCTCTTGAAAGTTCAGTTCAAAGCAGCTCGAGAATTTGTCACCGGCTCTCTGCACTCGTGGAGCCCGCAAAGCTGGAGCTGGGCATCTGCTTGAAGAACTCTCTGAGGCCGGTGAGTTCTCTGGTTAGCTGCTCGATGGTTTTGTGAAGCCTGTCGTTCTCGGCGCTCAGTTCAATCAGTTTCTGTTGCATCTCCATGTTGCGCCTTTTGGCTTTGTCCCTGCTTTTCCTGACTGCAATGTTATTCCTCTCTCGCCTCTGTCGGTACTCAAAGCTGAACCTGTCCACCGCCTTCTTCCCCCTTTCCCTGCCCAGCTTACGCGGCGAGGATTTGGCCGAGCTGACGGCGGAGACTGGCTCCGGGGTGGTCGGCGGGGTCGGTTGCCCCGTGGGGAGGCTGACGGAGGTCTGCGCGCAGGTCTCGATCTGGGAAGGCAGGGATGAAGACATGTCGCTGTCACTCCAATCGGACTCTTGCTTGATGGGTGCGCTGAAGGCGCTCTTCCCCAGCGCGCCGTCCGTCTTCCTCTCTGCTGTGTAGGCGTTTGACAGCTGCTGCATGCCGCCGGGCAGACCGGAGCTTTGCATGTTGTAGATATCCGCCTTCTCCTGCTTGACGGTGTTGAACAGGTCGAGGAAGAGCTCATCGTTGCACAGCTCCAAGTTTGGCACGGTTGTCATGGACTCGATGTACTGGCTGAAGTCGATGGCGCTTTCGTCGTCGTACATGGCGGGGGTGGTGCTCAGCTCCACCATGGTGCCGTCCTCCGCCGGGCCGTCGCTCCTGTTGCCCGGCTTGCAGACCCCCTGCTGCGGACCCCCCAGCTTGGTGCTCTCGTAGAAGTTAGCAGTCTCCATGGACCAGCTCATGTTGCATTGTGGAGACACGCAGTGCGAGTCCAGGCTGTATATGTCACACATGAACCCTGCTGACTTGTCCCACGTGGGTTTTAGAGAGAAAATAAACTTTTTTCTTATAGAGATACCCCTCAGGTGTGACAGCTCTGCAGCGCGATAATCCTGCTGCGGCTTCTCTTTCTGCGCAGGCGCTTTTCTCCCTTTTTGCGATATTAAAAAACTTTTTGGCTTTTTATCCCTGGGTGCTGACTGTCAGGCTCCCGTCCCCTTCAACCCCAACACACCTCTTGTCACTTCTCTGAAGCAGCTCTACTTTCGCGCAGTGTTTTGTATCGTCTGCACCAGCTGACGTCACACACGCCGCCCTTTCACGAGCCAGTCAAGTCCAGAAGGCTGTCACGTGGTGCACCGTAACTTCCCATTTGAGGAGCGAGGGGCGTGCTGCTCGTGCCACCCACTTCTTACTATGATCGTATGAATGGTGCAGAGTTGTTTACATAGTGAAGGCTCGGCTCTGGCTGTTTGGGAACAGCACTCGTTTCACAGCAGGGATAAAAAGTGGCGCAGGAAGTGCTCAGAATATTACTGAAGTATAAGAAGCAAGAAAAATACTCCATAGCATGTTAAAAAATACTGCAAGTACCCGGACACTGTAATTAAAGTATTTAATGAAAGTAACAATACATAATATCAATATTAATATCATGTATGATTGGATTCTTAATTGATGCTTTATTTTTATAGTAAAGCTCAGTTTAGCTACTATTTATAATGTTGAGTGGTTTAATAATAGGTAATAACAGTGTAAAAGTGGGAGAAATTTCACTGAAACAAACAATCTTACAGTCCTATTTTTCTCTAGTTAGCTTTAAATGGACTTTCATAATAGTTCAGATTCATAGTTCAGTTTTTATGCCACGTCATTTCTAATTTGAGATTAAGTTTCGATTCTGGGATCAAGTTAACAAAAGGTGCTATAGAGGAGGGGAAACCAGCAGAAACCGACGGCCACATGCTGTCTTCCTTACACCCATTTATCCTACAGACATTCATTCACAATCTGCAGTGGCAGTAGTTATATGCTGTTACATCATAAAGATGTGTGGCAACTCATGTAACAATTATTTGAAACTACAAGGGGGAGCACACGTCTCTAATCACTTTTCAAAAGTTGAGTCAACTTTCTGACACAAACCAGTTCCCAGCAGCTCTCAGAGTCAGCGCTGGTTTGGAGCTAAACATGCTTCAAATAGTTTTACATTGTAAAGCACTCATTCAGCTCTTATAGTGAACGAGAAAGCCTCGAATTAGATGTGCCGAAACTTTTAAAGCTTTTTTTTTTTTCAACTGTCTCTACATATATAGATATATTTTGAATAGTATCCATAAATCAAATATCTACTGCGATACTTCTGGGAATTGTTCCAATGTTTTCCGCTTTGGAAGTTTGCAGTATTTGTCCTCTCGCATTGGCCTTTCTGAAATGGAAACAGTGCCACACGCTGGTCACCGTTTGCACCCGCAGATATTTTTAAGTAACACTTATTGTCACCCTCACACACTCTTAGTCCCAGAAACAGTCCCTTCATGGTGCTTTATATTGTAAGATAAAGAACCCATAATAATACACAAGTAATCTGATGAGCAAGCACTTGGCAACAGTGGGAAGGAAAAACTCCCTTTTAATGGCAGGGAGACAGGATAAAAGACATGCTGTAGAAGAGTGACAGAGATTGATAATAACTGATGAGTAAATGCAGAGTAGTGTGTAAACACATAGTGAGTTAAAAAGGTGAGTGACGAAGGAACATGCAGTGCATCATGGGAAGCTCCCAGTGGTCTAAACCCATTACAACATAACTAAGGGAGGATTCAGGATCACTTGATCCAGCCCTAACTATATGCTTTATCAAAGAAAATTTGTAAGCCTAATCTTAAAAGCAGAGAGGCCAAATCCAAACTGGGAGGTACTTCCATAGAAGAGGGGCCTGAAACCGGAAGGCTCTACCTCCCATTCTACTTTTGAATATCCTAGAAACAAATGAGCCAGCAGCGTGAGAACAAAGGGCTCTATTGGTGATTCAGTACCATGACATCTCTAAGATAAGATGGGCTCTGATTCTTAAAGAGGATGTATGTGAGGAGAGGGATTTTAAATTAGATTCTGGATTCAAGAATTGTGAAAAAGTATTGAGTCTCTCCACACTTCTTCATAGTTTGCTAGGAAAATGGGAAATCACACTTGTGGTAATTTACTGAAATGTGAAAGCATAAATGGAATACAGCATATAAGAAAAAACAAAGTTTGTACAATTCTAACAGGCTTGAAAGTCGACATTTGGTATCACCACCTTTATTCCTCAACACAGCGTTCACTCTCTTGGCCGGCTTTCAGGTATAGTTCTCCAGGCTTCCTGGAGGACATTCAAAGCTCTTCTTTGGATGTTGGCTGACTTCTGTTCTGTCCTCTGTTGAGATGATCCCACACTGCTTCAATGATGTTGAGGTCCAGGTTCTGGGAAGGCCAGTCCATGACTGATAGTGTTTCCTTGTGTGTTTGTCTGTGAGCTATGCTTTTACTGCATTGGCAGTGTGTTTGGGATCATTAGGGTAATGATGAAAATCAAGCCATTGCTAATCAGGTGCTTGCCAGATGGTGTTGTATGGGGGATCAAAATCTGACAGAAATTTTCTACGTAGATAATTCTGTCACTTTTCACAAGATTTCCGACACCACTGACTGAAAGAGCCTCCACTGTGTTTTACAGATAACTGCAGAGACTCACTCTTGTAGCTCTCTGCTGACCTCTACTGATGATTTGAAACAAATCGTTAATATTTGCTAATATTTGCTGCATCTACTTGCACAAGCTAAGAACTGGATTTTCAGTCCAGTTCTTGTGTACTTTGGCATACCTCAGCCTTTTCTCCCCGTTTCCCTTCCTCAAGAATGGCTTCTTGACAGCCACCCTTTCACTGAGAAAGCTTCTGACGAGCCATCAGTGAACAGTAGATGGATCAACTGAAGAGCTGGATCTCTCAGGTCCTGTGTTAGGTCTTTTTCTCTATTTCAGGACTTAACTTTGAGAAACTCTTCACCTGATATAGATATTCCTTAGGCCTTCCATTTCTTCTTTTGTCCTCCACTCGTCCAGTTTCCTCAGATTTTTTGAAGGACGCATTGCACACCGCAGGGTTTTCAGCTTATAGTTCTTTATGAATCACATTGTCAAGCTATGTTATTTTTCATAGATTAAATTAAACAAATGGGAAGAAATTAGACAAGCTACTTTTAACAAAGTGCTTAAAGATACAACTGAAAATTTAATCTTTACTAAGTTGTCTGTTATATGTAGGCACGACACTCGTTCATCTCTTGAATTCGGGTTGTTTTTTTCCACGCATGAATGATTCATAGATCAGTGTGAAGAGGCTTAACAAACAAACAAAAAGTATTCCTCTGAAAATGTTCAAGTACAAAGACGGGACTTAAATGATAAATGGGGTGGTAGTTTTATATCACCTTCCTACTCAGTTGAGCGATCAAAGCATCTTCAATTGCAACTTGCATTCACCCAACCAGACCCACATTCATACAGCCCTTTTATCTATACCTGAGCATTTTCCAACATTCACAAACACACTCACACTGAGTGTGCTTGTGAATCTTGGAAAATGTGAATGTTGTTGGGGGCAGCTTGAGGTTCAGTCTCTGCAGGATGGAGGAGGCAGGGATTGATTTACCAGCCTTCCGAGAGG